AAAGTGCGCTAAACCGGATTCATCCCCAAGTTTGCCACCCTTGGAGGTGGAATATTTTCTTCAAAGTTAAATGGGACCCATTTACTGAGGTACCCTCTTTCCAACACAAAAAGAATCTCAAAATCGGTTCACAAATTTGCCAGAGTTATCGCGTAACATACATAAAAAAACATACAGTCGAATAGAGAACCTCCTCCTTTTTTGAAGTCGGTTAAAAATGAAACGCGTCTCTAAAGATAATTCGATATTAGCAGCCGTGAAAAGGGCTAACGATGTTTGATACAGCGGATCAGTGAAGCCACATAGCGCGTCGCGGGCTCGCGAATTACGAAATAAATAATTCCATATTTTCTTCGTCGCCTCTTATTCCAATTCCCCAGGTCAAATGGATCAATTGATCGATTTCAAACATAATTGGTGAGACGATTTTGTTTTGTTCACTTCTTCAGTCGTGGCTAGGCACTGAACACCTTCACAAGCATTTCACAAGTCACAATTTAGCACCTTGCACAGCCTGTAGGGTTAGCATGATAAGACGCGATTTTCGCAAGAGCGATATAATACGCGAGATCTCTATGCGAGAATAGTAGTATCTCGCGCTTTACATCGCTCTCGCGCTAGTCGCGCCCTGTCGTGCTAGTCCTACTGTAGTTGCAAAGTAATAAATAATACACAAATGTCAAGAAAGTGTCAAGAAATGTTAGAAGAGTGCTGGAGAGGAGAACGAGGACCGATAACAGAAGCGTCGGCCGCCAGAAGCCTAAATGGGCGGATTATATAGTAAAAGTAACCTGAAAAACCTGGATTGTAAATAGCCTAAGACAGGTGAAAATGGCGTTTAAATCGCTCCTTGTGAAAGAGTTTATCCAGGGTAGTACTACCACCTTACCTATTTCTGCCACCAAGCAGTAATGTCAGCATTACTGTGTTCCGGTTTTGAAGGGTAAGGGTGCTGGTGAAATTACAGGCACATGGGACTTGTCATCTTATGTCTCAGGGTGACGGGCCCCTCAGATCTTTACAATTGAAAGCTCTGAGTGGCACTGTAAATGTTATGGACAGGCGTGTAATGGTAAGCTTACCATCAGTCGCACGACTTGTGCATCCTGCCACTTGATATTATAAAAAAAAGACTAGAAGCTGAAAAACAAGAAGTACAAACGTCCGTTAACTTCAAAGCTTGATTAGGTATCATGCTGTTTCAGTTTTGCTTTGATAAAGTATATAATGAATACGATCGATCAAGGCTTTTCTTCATTACTCCGATTACCGGCCTGAAGTAGAAATCAATATATTATTTTCAGTATAGTGGATACTCACACGATGTCGTTAAGGCAACCTGTATTCAACCTGGATTCAACATAAAATTTCTGATGCCACAAATAGTCGAAATGCGATCGTCTACTAGTATGTACAATAGGTCTAATTTTTCCCAACCCGTAAATGTGCAAAAGTAACTACAGGATCCGAAATACGAGACAACAAAAGTTACAGCTATTCAGTGGGCGTGAAATTGACTAATATCAAAAGCAAACGAGACGCGATGCGACGCGACGACGCGACATTTCTGTTGCCACACGTGACTGCGCAAATGTACTGGTACGCGTCGAAAGTAGGACCAGATATAAAAGAAACTCACGTGGTTTCAAAGATAAGTACTTTATACTATACTATTGAGAAGTTAACCTAGAGTTTGTTACGTAACAATGTTACTACGCCGTATCTAGGGACCTAAACAACATTCAAAAATAAACCGCACGGACTTTATGTAACTCGCATCGTATAAAAGATTTCAAGATAACACGTTCGTAGGGCTTCCAATACTTAACTACTGTAACTCGACCAATTATATGGAAGATCACGAAACTGAATGTGAAAGTAAAGGGTCAGTTTGAAGGCTTGTGATTGGTCAATTTGAATTTCCAACTGAAATCTTAACGAATGAGATAACTATAATTTCAGATCGCAATTTAAATATCTGAACACAACACAATTTATATAAATATCATGTATGTTGTAGTATTTCTTGTTGTACAGATTACGTTTATTTTCGGTCCTATTTACAGCGCGTTTTGTGTACATAATGATCGCGGTGTACTTGGCAAGTTCTGAATAAAGTTATCATATCTTCAGCATAAGTGCTTGACCTAAGTTGCAAGTTTGTGGTCTAGAAAACATTTAAATAATTTAAACTGTTATAAAATGTTACAACAGATAAATACATGGAAGCTATAACAAAAGATTCTTATTGTTATTGCGACAGAATGAGGAAACTTGTTTGTTGAAAAAATATAACACAGACAAGCCTGCCTGTATATAAAACCAATTTGTTTACTCACAAGAAACACCTCTGTACGAACGGGTGACGACGCCATGATGTCATATAGTAGTACTTTATACCTTTTTATTAAATTATTTTAATAGCGCTCACACGACGCCATAACAATTAACTCACATTTGGTTGTAAAATAAATAAATGGCATTTTCAATTTATCAAGTATTCCAATTGTACAGTTCAAACATTTGTCACTCATTATAATTATTATCATGGGTAAGTATCATTAGTCTTGAAATTTCAAAATTGCCTGTTTTAGTAAGGCAAATTCTCTTGAGAAGAACATGTAAGAAATTCTAGTAATAACTTATACCTAGCCTGAAAATAGAATTGTTTTAATTATAACTCTACCTAAATGAATTATTGAAACTAAACAGAACAACTAATTGAACTGCATTCAACTATTCTAAATATTTGTGTTCGAAGATGATTCAAATAGTGCTGTGAAAATTTTAAATGATTAATACCAATAAATCAATTTTAGACTTCAATCAATTTTGTAATTTCAGTAAAATATTTTCATATTATCATATCATATTGATAGTTTGAATTATGATAGTGTTTAAGAATTCATAAAATTTAGTTTCTTTCTAACAAGTACAGAAAATTATCACTTGGTTAAAGATTATGTGGCCTTATTATCAAAGATTATTTATAATCTGGTGCTAAATGTTTCAATAATTTTATAAGCACTACATATTATTAATATTATTACACTTGGAAGTGTTCAAATCTGAATTAAAAATCTTAAGCTAAATCAAATTATAGTGGAATATATACAGTTGTTCATTAAAAATAAATATCAGTAGTGCTGTAACTTTAGAAGTTAATTTGTAATTTTGGGGTCAATACAGATACAGGAGGCTTCTAAAAGTTGCCTTAGTTACTGCAGGCACAAATACATATAAGCTTGAAACTAGAACAGCATTCTGGGTGACCATTATATTTAGAATTCCTTCAGGAAGTGTTAACTGAGATCTAGGTCATATAAAGGTCTAGGGTTATTTATAGGTGACACCACTTCAGGGTTCCGATGTACAATCGCATCACGCGAAATCTTGTGTTGTCTACCAAAGATATGAACATGCCATTGACAACCAAGGTCAATAGGTTCAAATAGGATTATAAAAAGTTAACATAAAATACTCACAAATCCACTAATAAGGATGATCAAAGTCTAGCAAAACAAAGGTCAAATTGAAGACACCTCTATGTTATGGTTCTGACTCCCTAGCAACGCAATAACAAGCGAAAATTTCGAAAGTGGTATGATGTAACAACTAGCATGTTTTTGTGTTCATTAGGTCAGTAGTGGCATCAACAGCGTGTTGCTAGGAAACTGAGGTAGAGGCGGCGCGCTCACCGCGTGCGCGGTTGATTGCGACGTCCTTTCGACGTGGAAGCGCGCCGCAGTCGCACGCCGCGTGCGACCAACTGCACGTGCTAAGCCCAAGGGTCGTTACATAACCAGGGATGAACTGTTCCACTTCGAGGACACCTAAACACGCTCCCCAACACCCGTTCCATATTTAGAAGGAGCGCCACTGACTAGCGATTGCGACTGGACGGTCCTGATGCGTCTCGACACATTTTTAGAACCGCATGTAAACGATACTACACGCCCCACGCCATACCGCCAACAACACAACGTGATTAACAGTTAACTTAATTGAGCTATCCAGGGTGCAAAATCCGAAATGCGCAATTGAAATATCTAGATTCTTTAAGAGCGACGTAATCGTTATATTGAAGTGTCGAAGGGTTCTTTGATGATGAAGGAAAATTGTAGGGAGTGGTAACCTAGTGATGCAAGAATACTTACTTTTGAGATGAAACGTTTGTTGGACGCACTAATTAGTAGCAACAATAATAAACAGCATTACGCGGCCACCGCACTTGAAATCAACATTCAACAAACACCTCGACACCCAATCATACCATAAACTAAAGAGTAACCTACATAAATAAACATATGATTTGATGAGGTACCACAGTCTATGGTTGATGAAGTTTTTGGTGAAGTGATTTGACATCGCTGTCTGCCCAAACTTGGACTATTTTTCCATCCCATAACAATAAAAATACGCTGTCAGGATCCTTAATTTTGTAAGAAAAATGTTCAAGGTGTTTTCTTCTACTCTTTTTTCTTATTTTTTTTTTTAATTTATTGAGCATTGGCTATGAGGCCTTCAGCTTAAAACTACAACAAAACAAAAATGAAATGGATAAACATAAAACACGCCAACGTAATAACGTCATTAACAGTAGAAAAACAATTTAATTTTCTTGCATAGAAAAATAGATGATATTATAGAGCGAAACAAACAAGACCAACATACTACAGCGCTATCTCACTTCCACGAATTATGCTGCAACTAATTTGCATCAGAGTTGCCAAGGAAATTGCTTGAAAATAGCCATAGTTATTAAAATGGGGCATAAAAAATAATTGTCATTCCTTTTTGCGTTAGTGTATAGAGAGGCAGTCTAAGTTTCATATATAATATTTACTTTAGCTACATTTTTTAATTACCGAATGAATTATGAAATTGAAAATAAAACAAATGAATGCTTGGTTATACAGTGGTAGATAGTTTTGTGTAAACTGGCAACAACGGCATTATCCAAAAAGAAGAAAACACGTTAAACTTGACGTGGACTACAGTCGCTGGCCCACTTCGAAATTAATGTGCGAAAGATTTCTTTTTATTTAATCTGTTAAAGTGAGAACTGAACGTGGAATAAAAGGCTGGATGTTGGTTTTCTAGAAAAACATGGCTTTATATTTGGTGAGTACATACTTTCTCACATAATTCGTCTTAAATATGTGACAGCTTATTCCCGAATTTCTAATGTGCTTTTGGTTTTTCGAGAAATTGTGATTTTTCTCTTATGAAATTACAGAGAATGTACTGTGTGGTGAGTGTGGTACTGTTACCATTACTGCTTAGTCAGAACGTGGAAGCTGCGGCAGTGATCTCGATCGATTTGGGATCGGAATGGATGAAAGTCGGCATCGTGTCTCCCGGGGTTCCTATGGAGATCGTGTTGAATAAGGAATCAAAGAGGAAAACTCCGGCCGTGTTGGCACTAAGGGACAATGTTAGAACATTCGGCGAAGATGCCGTCAACGTTGGGGTCAGATTTCCCAAAAATTCATATAAATACCTTTTAGATCTTCTTGGAAAACCATTTGACCATCCTATTGTGCAGAATTTCAGGTCAGTGACCTTTTTTACTAATATAATTAGATTAAATTATTGTTTTTTGTTTAAATAATATAAATAGAGCCCTGAAGAATGTTTTCTAAACTAAGATTGTACCTGTTGTAAGGTATAAGTAATATAACAGCAGAGAACATTAAGTTTTAATGCAAAACACATTGCATGTTGAACATTGTTGAGATTTTAATGATTGCAGTATGATGCAATGCTGA